TATTCTGATGTATGCGGTCATACGTTTGTCTGTATAACCTTTTTTAAACTATTGTATTCCCTCCTGCAGGACACGCCCAAACAAGAATTGTGCAGCCTGAGGTTTGCGCAATTAAAAATAGTCTCGAATGCTCTCTGGCTTGTGCCCCCACGATTATTGCCACAACTGTTTCATAGTCAAGGTTGAATGTCTGAAGGAGACAAGGCATACATCTTTTTATTTAGTGAGCTTATTCGACTTGGTACCCGGAGTGAGCCCGGGAGTAATGTCAAGACATACCCAAAGGACCTCCAATCAACGAATATTCGTAATATGTATAAGAGATTGGCACGGGGATTGGCATGGGTAAAGTATCTAGACGGCTGACTGAAGGTTAACAAACCAGGCTTCTCTTTATTTGGAGAACGTTACGTCAAAGCTAAGCGGATCTGTTCAACTACGCAAAAGTGGTGGTCCGTACTAGATGGTTCTGTTTTTTAAACAAGCTACATACCGAAGAAATTAAGCTTATAATCCCTTCAGGCTAAGCTCATAACGTTGTGGGGGTACGGGATAGAAGTTGAACGTAAACGCATATTTATTCAATTTTGAAACGTTAGAACGGTTATAATGCGATCTGAAGGGCCTACCTAAGTTCTTCTCCAGGACTAGTTCGTATGGTGAAAATAGTACACACTGAAATGTTTAGACCCGTAAGTTGCACCTATGAGCATACCGGGCTTTTTTTTAAATTTGAAACTTATATAATTATGCTATGTATGTACCCAAGTGACCTAAATAAAAGCAGTCTCTGTACATATGTACCCATTTTCAATTTTGTGTAACTGTTTTTGTATATTGTAAAAAAAGAAATGGAAATAGGCAGAGCCTACTATAGCTAAATACGTAAAACAAAATTAGAAACAGTAAAGACTTTTTAAAAAAAATAGCCGAAGGCCCGTAGGCCGAAAGATGAGTGAGAAACTTTGGACTTTCACATTCTATTTCCCGCCCAAATTTCTCTCTCTGAGAAAAGACAAAAAGCAAAATCATCAGTTTTGTCGTCGGTTTTGTCGCCAACCATCCAGTATTGTGAAGAAAAAAAATGGAAAATTTGAGGAATGTTAATTGCGGGAACACAAGTTTAGAATTGGGTTTTTCCATAAATACATTTGGTCTAAAAAAAAATAGAAGGCTATAGGTTTTTTTGTTTAACTCTTGAAAAAAACATTTAAAACCCAAAAAACCCCCAAAAAACAGTTGGAATCTCGGATAGTCCCGGTTTCGAGTTCGATATTGGTTTTCCCATAGCCTCCTGACTCCTGGGGCGGGCTGAGGGTTGACCGCCTGAGGGCTGAGGCCTGAAGGGCGAGGGGCGAGGGGCGAGCCTGCGAGAGTGCGAGGGCTGAGGCCTGGAGCCTCCTCTACTCTTTATTTCTTTACCATGGTGCAGTGCGGTGCACCCGTCCATTTAAAAGTACGGTATTTACTATTTTAATAATTATTTACATCTCTCTCCCTCCCTCTGCTGGTCTCTTCCTCTCATGTGTGCGTGACTGTGTGACCATACACGCTATGTAGCTGAAAACGTACTACAATTTACGTTAACGAGCTCAATTATAAAAGTTTTTTACGCATATCGTATTCATTTTGGTTATTCCAAAACGACAATTTCATTTTTTTTTCTTCAAGAACTGCTCCAAATATGTAGACCAACAAATGACAAATATACATTGAACCGGATCTAAAACTGAGAAAGTTCATTTTTCTATATCAGGTAGTCGCCTATATTTTGGCAGATGAAGTTGGGTGGTATTTGCCAATATATTGGCAGGCTTCATCGCCAAATTTGTTTACGCTTAACGTAATGCACCCCATGTGTGACTGTGACCTAAAAAAAAAACTTAAAAAAAATTTGTGTGGAAAACCCAAAAACCAAAATTTACAAACTCATTGTCTTCTCATTGTTTTATATATAAAAACACACTCATTCACGGCTATACTTGTTTTAAAAAACCCCCATAAAAAGGAATTCTATTTATGTACTACGTCTTTTTGTTTCAATTTTATTAAAAGGCTATTTACAGCCTACTGAAAAATATTCTCCGTTGGGCCGCGGTGGGGTGGCACGTGAATCCGTGACTGTGAACTTGTGAAGTGTGAGAGTGTGCGTCTATGACTATTTATGAGACCTTGAGTCCACGAGTCTATGAATCCATGAGTCCTTGACCCAACCGATATTCAGTCTATTTATTAAAAAAAACAAGGAATGCAACCTCCTCTGTTTGTCATCTCTTCCAAATTAAACCCATTTCAAAATGTACGAATCAGAATGCGACATTCCTGACGTTTGTCATATTTTATCAAAATGGTAGTTGAATTTATAAAAAACCTTTGAAATGGTACTCTTATCTTCTACAACTTTTTAACTAGACCATATTCTGATTTGAGAAAGAACAAATATGGAATTTGGGAGTGAATAGGTTTCAACTTTTGCTTTGTTTGTTTAGGACTAAATATAAATATGTACTATGATAAAAACATATTACTGGAATACGTATCAGTTTTATATTGACTGTATGGCTCATCAGTGAGATATTTTCTCTTGTCAAAAGATAAAAGTGCAAATTTGGCAGTCAACTTTACATTTTCTCTCACAGCTCTTTTTTAGAAAGTTAAATGAATAAAAGAGTAATCGTTCTATATATTTTTCTCGAATGCTCCTTCAATTTTCCCAATGTTTTTTTCTTCTTCAATTTCACGAGGATATGTAGAGTATTTTCATCGATCTACGTACAGTCGGTACAGATGCTATGCTAAAAGACTTCAAAAGCATTGACGCCGTTCACGGGCATGTCATTCTCTGCCCCGAGACACAGCAGAAGGATATTCGTAGCAGGGTTATTTTACATACAGATATTATTTTAAAACCTTCATATAGCAGCATACGAAACATAGGTAGTTTATCATGGTCAGATACCTGAATAAAGCTTGCTTCGCTGTGGCGGTAGTCGTAGTGGCTTCAACTTCTGCTGTACAAATAACTGATCAAGATCACTTGATTGTAACCAGAGATACAAAATGTATCACAGCTCTGGGTAGCAACCAAGTGAGATTAGAACCCTGCTCAGGTGCCGATTCTCAGGTATGGAGGGAATCAGTTGGGTTTTTTCAAAGTCAATATAACGGAGAATGTCTCACGGCCAACAAAGACACTGGAGCAGTAACTTCACAGACTTGCGGTCAACCTGAACATGTAGCTCATCAAGGGTTTGAGGATTGGAAACAACTTATAGTGAATGATGGTCAGAGTTGCTTAGGCTCTGAAGATGGTAGCACTCTTAATTTGTATCCAGCTTCGGAAGTTTCTTGGTGTCAGTTCGCACCTGGGGGTGTGGGCGCTTATAACGAGAAAATACACGCGATGGCGTTTAAAGATCTCTCTTTTACGAAAGGCAGTTGGCAGCTGGAGGCTACGTCTGCTTGCTCTGTGACATGTGGTGACGGTGTAGAACAGGTGCATGCAGTGTGCAAAGGCGGTTCTATGAAAAATAGTTACTGCAGTGATCAACGACCGCAAACAACTGAGCGCCAGTGCAATGCTGGTGCATGCGCTAGAAGCCAGGGAGTGTGGACTGATTGGGGTGTATGTAGCGCATCATCATGCGAGGAGCAAGGGTTTAAGGGGCGAGTGTGTCAGGGCGGCGACTGTCTTGGGAATGACATTGAACCTTGCCAGATGGAAGGGTGCTCCGTACCTGAAGCTCGTACTGAAGTATTGGTGACACAAAACCAGCCTGATCAGATGAGAGTCCAGAACGATGGGACAAAGTGGACCGCGTGGTCAAAGTGTAGCAATGATTGTGGGGAGGGCACGCGCACTTCTTATTGCGTAAGTGGGCCGTGTACTACATTTGAAGAGCATGAGGATTGTTATGACAGCTCCGGGTCGAATTGCGGTATGTGATATCTGTACCAATTTTGTGCTTGAATTTATGTTTTGATCCTCATCGACAATGCCTTTAGTTCTTGACTGTTCTTATTCAGTTGCTGATGTTCAGGTAGTAATTAATGATCTGCTCAATATTCTCGATGTATCACTCATGTTGAGCCCATGTTATCCTTCTTACTTTAGAGTATGTGCACGTCGAGAGTGTAGACGGTCGGTGGTCACCATGGTCGGAGTGCTCTGTGACGTGCGGGACTGGTTCTAGGACCCGTGAATGTCTAGGTCGCCAGGGTCACGGTGCAGACTGTGACACTTTCGATGCGGGCACTACCATCACCTGTGTGACCAATGTTGCCTGTACCCAAGCTGCGTCCGCGGGTCAGGTTGTCGAGCAGGGCCGTACTGAAGTACTCAGCTCAGAAACGGTTCAGCATCCTGCCTACGATCCCAACCCCGCTGATAGTCTAAGTGACCAACTGGCGGTTAGCCGACAGCAAGTGACTACCACTGATGGAACTGCTGTCGCGAATGCAGCGGTTAATCAACAGGTTAGCAATCAGCTTGTCACAGATACTATGGCTGGAGGAATGGCCTCTAGTGGCGGTGGCCAGTCTGTGAAGTCCCAGGGCGAAACTGAGAGTTTTGGACAGGAAGCAGTAGGTGGAGAGGGAACCACCGGCAGCACTACTAGCGGAATTACTGGTTCTTATTCTGGTGGAACAACTTATCAGGTACCGACTACTCAAACCTACACCACCACCGATACCTCTGGCCTTACGAGTGGTTTCTCTTCAGGCACTACCACTGATACAAGTGGTCTTACCAGTTTCACGTCTAGTACTAACCCTTTTGCCAGACGTTCTACCGATAAGGACGGTTACAAGACCGTGCCTGTGGAAGTATCAGAGAACGACACCCCTGAGATGTTGAGATTGAAAATTGCGCTCGCCTTCCACGAAGCTGAGCTCGCGGATGAGAAGGCCGCCACAGAGGTCGAGAAGAAGCAGGAGGCTCATGAGCTTGCGGAGAAAAAGGCGAAACAAATGTTTATTGAGAGACTAAGCTTCGCGGTAGGCCACTACATAGGTATGAAAGATCACAAGAGCTCCAAGGATACTAAGTATTACTACTTGGCCATGTTTATTGTAACCGGTTTCTTCCTTGCCGCAATTCTGGGTGTTGCGACCGTTTTCCTCGGAGCCTGGTACTACATAATTTGTCAGCGAGATGAGCGAATGCGAAAGGTGAATGCCGCTGCGAGTGCGTATGATATGCATTCGAACGTGTATCTGAATAAGCATAGTACGATGAACGTACCTGAGCAAGCAGGGAAGGACAACGAGGTGACAGAAAAACTATCTGGAGCCTCGGTTGGAAGCGAAAGTGACCCAGAGGATTTGGTTTAATAAGTAGTTTGGACTGTCCGCCACACTACGCGTCAGACCGCGAGTGTGCGAGACAAACGTCTAGCAATGTACATTATTTAAAATATTAAAGATTGATACGTAAGGGTAGTCATGCCCTGTGAAAGCAAAATATTTATACCCAGGTAGTCCTATGCCCTGTGAAAGCGGTATATTTTGTTGGGGTCCTCTCATAATTTCTGGTGTTGATTCAAAGATATATACGAGCTTATATATAATATTACTCGTATTCGCTCCTGATTAAGATTTATCTATTTGTAGAGTCGATCGCCACTCGCTGTCTCCACCCTCTAGTAGTAGTCACCGGATGCATTCAAGATCTTAAACCCGAATTCTCATTTTTAGAGGTCATATACTTTCTTTAAAAAATACGCGAGTGTACAAATCGGGATCACAAACTCGCATAAATATTATCGAATTCTGATCATCTTGAATATTTTTTTATATTTCAGTAGAAAGCAATTTACATAAATTTATGTGGTATACAACACGCGAGAAGTGTTTGCTCCAATATCGCAGTAGTGAATTGTTTCAGCTATGCCTACGCACAGCTAACGCTCCAGTTGGGGAATGAATTGATCTGCTTACGGACGTACCTGGACGGCCCGAGAAACCATTGATACAGAGGGTAGAAGTCGCTAAAGCCACACCCACCGTGCGGTCAATTGTGTATGAAAGCGGCGAGGATGAGATTTGGACTTGAATGAAGAAGAAGGCTTGAAATGGAGAGTCACTACTGCACCGAATCCACGAGAGCTGAAGGTTAAGCGACAGAAACGAGCCAACCTGAGTCGGAACATCAGGTATGGGTGGTGTAAGAATACAGAATTGAATTTGAGTGCATGCAGCGGCTGTGTTCAAAAGAGAACACACAGTGGTACTGCTCGAAGGATTGCCAGACCGTGGACTGGATTAAAGGCGACCACAAGCAAAGCTGTAGTGGCAGAAGAATTTGATATGAGATAACCCACAATTACACGTGTGGGGTCGGAGGGGCTGTGGTACGGCAGATGTACTTGAGAAACACCTCAACTAGTGAAATTTATCACTTGGACGGACCTGCTGCAAACAATAGCGTAGCACTTATCGATTTTTCCCATCAATACGTGTGGGATCAGAGGTGCTATGATACGGCAGATGTACTTGAGAAACACCTCAATTAGTGAAATTCACTTTTCGGCAGTGGACGGACCTACCGCAAGCAATAGTGTCGTACTTTACGAATTTTCCCATAAACCGTCTACAATACGTGAACAGCACTGTCGTTGTTGCCTGTGAAATTTCGCGATAAAGACAAAGAAGCAGCAGAGTTGCCGTTGCGTGGTACAACCCACACTCGTACAACTTACTCAGTGTGCATATCATGGATAATATTGTATACTATCGTCGTCGTATGTGGAATAAAGTTCGGGAGTGACTCTTGAAATGATTCAAACACCACATTACTAGAATATACAGAATAAGCCCTACCGGCTATGGTAGTGTCCTATTAGTATGCGACGGCTATGTGTTTGCACAATTACACGACGCTCATTACCTACGCGCGCCTATCAACGTGTACTGGGTACGTCGCATAAGTAGATGCTCATTTGAGCCATATCAGTGCGGGGTGCCGACACAGTATAGCACTTCGTTTGGGTCTAAATATAACACTTCATTGCCTATAACAGCCTTACTCTCTGCTTGTAAACCAAGCCATGTAAGTATATAACAACATAGCTACTAGGGGAACCCTTTTCCAGGCAAACCTTATAGGTTTCTACCAACTACAGGGCCTTGACTATGCGAGGAACCCGCGCAAATAATACATCGTGTCGTTCCGAGTAGAATAGTTTCCTCGTGCAACACACTGTACTAGACCATGATAGCTAAAGAAGCTCATTATGTTGCGTGAGTATCATGCAATAATATGGTTCCAAGCAGCATAATATCACTGTACAGTAGTGTGATGTGACACCTTCTATTCAAGGTTTGACAGTTCACCATATTACACAGTTCGCTTTATTTTTAAGAGCCCGATCCCGCGCCAAGCCTTGCGAACGTTTGTTCATGCGGAGACTGAGTACTGCGCAGATACGCGATCAAACTGCTCTCCCTTTGCAGCATGGTATTTGACGAAGGGATGGCTGGGTGCACTATCCTGCAGTTGGCTGATATATCTAGACGACACTTCGTCGGATTTCTCTGTCTGCTGAGCCACAGTGATCATACACACAAGAACCTCGGCATTGTTGCTGTCTTTGTTCAGAGCATCTAAACAGCATCAAATAAAACGTCAGGTATAGAGAGTAGAATAGCCTCGATAAAATACTTTCGCCGAAAATGGATATCCAGTCAGTAGAGCTGCACACAAAATCATGCATATAAATGCGCGCGTTTATACGCACCGTTTCTCAGCAGGAATGAGCAGAGCATGAAATTGTACAGAACAAGTACCTTGTAGGAGATCTTCAGCCTCGCCATATTTGTGCTGATGGATAAGACAGGCGGCTTGACCCGTCAGAAGCATGATTGAGGGAGAGTATTTAGCGGCCAATTCGTTGTAAATGTAGAATGCGTCCTGATATTTGTCTCCGCCTACAGCAAGGTTAACCCAGGCCGTGGCTACTTGGGTCAGTGACGAGTCGTCATCGATTTGGCTCATCCTGGGAAAGTGTCAAAAAGAGATCAGAAATTGCCTAAAACCCTAAACCCTTAAGTAATACTAGGCTTGCTGGACTATTTGCCGCAAATGTTTGGGGTAAATACGTGGAGGTAAGGGACTTACTGTTGCAGGTATTTATTTGCGAGATCGACTCGGTCATACTGAAGTAGTAGTTGGACGAGCAGTGCGGTACACTCAAGTGTGCCGCCACGCGCAGCAATCTCCATAGCTGTCTCTAAATTGCCCATCTCAGCGTACATCATGCTGGCGAACAATTGTGTAGTGGGGCTGATGCCGAGAATGGGATCTGGACCAAGTAATTGCGGCAATTTGAGATTGGGAGTGTTGGATTTACTTGTAGTGGACTGTGTTTACCATGCAAGTTGGTAGAAAACTGACAGAGTACTATATGTCGAGATCAAATTGCGCTAAGTAGGACCGGTGCCCTCTTATATGTGTGGATAGAAATTAACACTAAAGTCAGATAGGCGACAGAGAAATAAGTAACGAGTCATATCCACTAATAGAGCGACACAAGTGAGAGCCCGTCTTACCCACACAGCAGGTCAAAGTGAGGCATCGATAAGCTCCAGATTGTAAACGAAACGCGTCAGGCTATAAAAAAACACCCACTAGAGAATGTGTCACACTCAGTTTCACCCACCCTCGAGCAAGGCTTCCATCTCCTGCACGGCAGGATTGTTCTGTAAAGGGTTCTGCTTGTACTGCGCATACAAACGCACGGCCCGCAGCGAAGACGCGGATCCGGAATTGATTTCGTTCAACACAATGTTGAACTTCGACTATATTCAAAATGAAACCCAAGATTAGCATATAATGTCAACTCACACTCACAGAGAGCATTGGGTAAAGACAGTACCACTGGCGATAGCGATAAGTTGACATTGATTGATGCAAATGTACTTTAAAAAATCTAAAAGCTCAAACATACATCAATATACATACATACATACATATACTTACATTTACATACATTTCCATACATTTACATACATTTACATCAAATATAATTATAATATAATGTATATATATACATACAGATATATACATATATATATATATATATATATATTCAAACATACATAAATGCACATGCCTATAAATATATACACATATACCCATATAAACATACATACACACAAAACACAAAACACAAACACAAACACACACACATATATATATGTTATATACATAAACACATTCTATGTATATGTATATGTACATGTATATGAATATGTATTTATAAATATCTATACATATTATTGTATATGTATGGATATGTATATCTACATAAATGAATAATATATC